AATTGTGGAAGATGCAAAACCATTGCCAAAGAACCAGGTTAAAAAGCAAGTTATGGTTGGTACTTCTGATCAAAGTGGGTTCAACCACTCTCAATACATCATTGTCAATATGTGTGCCATTTCCATTGATAAATATCCATCGTGAATCTAAGCAAAGACTGAGACAGATACATGGCAACCTTAGAAATTAAACACCAAAGCTGTGTGAAGGACTGCATAACCTCCGTGTCTGAAGCTTGAGTTTCTGGATAGCCAGGTGTATGATGTCAGATCATGGCTGCCTCCAGAGAGATGGCCAAAGAGGAAGTGGAAGAGGTGGAAACTCCTGAAGATACAGCAGAAGCAGAAACCAGGGTTTAGCTGCCAATCCTGTGCTATTCTGACAATGGGTTGGGACATATCATTGCTAGTACCTTTGGTAACATACAAATTGAAAAGAAGGTGTGACGTTGTAATCCTGTCCTATCCGGAGGGAATGTATCTATTGCCAATGCTCAAGGGTAAGGTACTGGAAACCAAACTGCCAGTAGTTGGGTGTTCCAATGAGAGGCCAACCCATCAATCATCAGTGTTTCAAAATGAGAATTAATCCAACAGAAAAACCTCATGATGCAGCATCTCTTCTGTTGGGAAAATCTCTTTGGGTCGAGACAATTGATCTGCCACCAAAGTCATGACAAGCTAGTAGGGTGATATGATAGGAGTGGTCCCAAGAAAGGAGATCCAAGGTTCAAAAACAAAGAGTCCTGGACCAAGTGCCCCCTTGACAGGAAATGAAAGACACCCCTATGGAATTGTAGGAGTGAAGCCTGATGATTTAATAAGCCAAGACCATGATACATCACCTTTTGAAGAGCAAAAGATCTAAAACATTGTGTAGGGAAGTCTTGTTGAGCATGCATAGACCCTGGAATTCCTGACCATTGAGATATGCACCCCATCTCTGAAGCAAGGCATTCGCGAAGAGATGGACCTATGGATGAGGTTGTGGCAGAGGAAACCAAATCTGAATATTGTCCTGATCTAACAATGCCACGAGATCAAAGAGAATGATCCTGAATAATGAAACTGGAGAATCCAGTGAATTGTTATTTATGACCCAGTGGTCACATAAAGATCGTTGAAGGGATCTCTTGTGTGCTTGTCCCAAGGATATGTAGGATTCAAGTGATGCCCACATTCCCAAAATAGAAAGAACCATTCATGCAGTGGGAGAAGGAGAGGTGAGTAAGAGTCGGACTTTCTGTTCCACAGCATGTAGCCAAATGGGAGTCGGCTCAGCTCAACTGAGATATGTAATGAAAAAAATACCCAGACTGACAAAATATTGATTTGGAGTGAGAACAGATGTCTCAGCTCTGATAATGAAGCCATGCTTTGGTTGTTTCAAAAATTAAAAATTGAATCCTGGTGTGACATTCTGACAATTGACAAGATAGTGCCAGCAGTAACCAGTCGTCCATGCAATGGTGTGTGCACAGGGCTAGAGAATGGAGATGAAGAGAAAAAAAGTTGTATTATTCAGCAGAACCCATATGGTGTCGATGCTAATCTCAAGGTAAGAACTCTGAACTGCAGTACATGACCCTTGCACACAAAAATGCCAATAGTGGCAGGACATAACCACTATGGCAATGTACAGATAGGAGCCAATGACATTGAACTTGGACATCCACAATTCTAGTAAAAAATGCCAACTCATAGTGAACCCTGGAGAATCTAGGAATTGATATAGATGAGAAAGATCGATAACTAGATGCCAGTCTCATGTCTTCTTGGGTCCAACAAACTTAAGGGAATAAAACCCTGGAAGAACTGGCACGACTCTCTCTCTACCCCCAGACCAACAAAACTCTGATAGTCATAGAACTAAGTTCCAAAAGCTGAGGATCTGTGGGAGACGGAAACTCTACAGGTTGGGTGGATAATGGTGGTGAAGATGTGAACTGAATGACTAATCCTGACTCAAAGACCTGTAGTGCTCATGGATCCATGGTTAAGATTTATCACACATCCAGAAATTCTCAGAACTGAGCCTCCACAGACCCCAAAGGCATACAATAGTCACCAACACTGCCAGTGGCACTCCAACCTCGCAGAGGAGCTTCTTGGCTATGGGCAGAATCTTTTCTGGGTACCAATGGATCGAGGAGCTGACATCTTTAAAGATTTTGAAGGCATGGATCACACACTGGTTAACTCACGACAAAACCTCCGTATGAGTAATCTCAGTTTAAACTGTTGCTACACTTCAAGCAATCTTCACAGGCATACAAGATCAGTTGCTCTCCCCTAATCTTATTTTAATGTTGCTCCTGCTTGCAGAATTTATGGTTACAATAAATTTGTTTTGTAAGATTTTACAAACTAAGAATTTGAACTACAGCTTAGTTATAAGCAAATTCAGCCATGTTATTTCAGAGCTATACAGCATAAAGGATGAAATGCCAAACCACAGCTGCAATGAAACAAATTTGAAATATTTTAGACCGGCAAAGGAACTTCTAGCATATTGTGCAAAAGCCATGGGCTTTACTAGGACATTAAGAACATTCACTGCAATTAGTAGGATAGAAGCAATAGATGATTAAATATCAAGTTTAATTTCATCAGTCAAGGAGCCAATGATTGATGATCTCATCTCTGAAATGGAAGAAACATCTCATGTACACTCAATGTTCAACCTCTTCAAACTAGAGAGTGTCAATAAATCTACATGTGCTAAGAAAGAGTTCTTAAAAACACTATGTGATCATTACAGCCAGCCAATAAATGACAAATACTACCATCATTCAAACAAAGAGGTGACAATTATCAATGCAGTGGATACATTAGCTAAATTTGATGATTTCATGCACGAGTTCAATTGTGCAGTCCTTATAAGAAAAAATAAAGAAGGAAGTTAACATGCTAGTTATCAAAGGAGACTTAATTCCAGTGCTGTTCAAACTTACATAGCTATTGATATGCCCACAGCTGCTGATGTTTACAAGTTTTTAGCCTCAGATGGAAGTTTGAATCACTTCACTAATCTCACTTTTCTTTTCTGACTAAGTTTGCTGATTCCTCCATTGACAGCTCATGTGGAACATGGCTTCTTAGCCATGAATCTGCTTTGCACACCTCTTCCTTCTTCGTTGAGTGAAAGTAACTTAGAACGATTCATGCTCATTTGCATAAATGGTTCAGAAAGGTTTAATGATGACCAACTTGATAGTTTTAAATCAAAGTGTGATGATAGACACCTTGACCTTTATCAACATTTGTTTTTAAAAAGTCATACTTTCAACAAAGTATGTAGTGTTCACATTTTATGAGTTTAAGTTGGTTTTAAACAAAGAAATAAAACACAAGTTCAACTTTGCTATTCATTTGTTTTTCATTTTTTGATGTTAGTTGTTAACCCATATAATTTTGCATTTTTTTTGGTAAGATATAAAATGGCATGCAATCAAAGATACAACAGAAAAAATTAAGCCAAAAATAAATATATAAAATAAAACAAAAATTTTGCTTCAATTTTTCCTCTATATCATGTCTTTTCATATTTTGTCTTACCCCAAAACCCATCTCAATAAATGCACATAAATATAACATAATATTTGAAAGTACATATTAGTATTTTTCACTCTAAGCACCCCCTATAACCTCCAGTTCAAATTCTCATCAAGTTTCCATGTAGCAGAAGCTTGCCTTGTTTGTGCTCGATTACCACTGCCAAAATTAATTTTATATATTACCCTCTGATTGATGTATGAGTTTTACTCTCCTATAACCTGGAAATTAGTTTAAATTTGGCCATGCTGCTGGGCAATTCAGATTCTAGATATTGCGAGGATTTCAAATCTGTATTCAGAATGCAAAAAAGAGAGTACTGGAAAGATTTGTTTGGATATCAACCCAACAAACATGTATATTTAACTTGCAGACTGAGTGTTAAGGCTGCCATTTTGCAGTTTTTACATGTTGTGCAAATACTGTTCTTTTTGTATTGCTTTTACCAATTCCACTCATTTTTTTACACTTTTTCCACACACAGAAAAATATCCCCAAAATGTTCAACATAGTATGGTCAATCATTCCTAACTGTTATTCTGAAATAAAAACATTTCATAAAATTTGTTTTTAATCCTTATCTCCCTTGGATGATATTAAATGTTCTGTTTCTAAAGTGGTTTGTGCTTACAAATAGCAATCAAATGAAAACAAGCTTATGCAGAGTAATGAAAATTAACAATTAAAAACAAAAACTATTTCTCTAAAACATTTCAGGGGAGACAAATAAAATATAATGAAGTGCCCTCAAACTATGCTAGGTTCAAACAAGTGAAAAAGATACAAAATCTCAATATTACAAACCTTATTTTACACCATCAGCACTCATATTTATAGCCATGGGACTCAAAATATATATATAAGGACTTCACTTTTTAAAAACATGTGACTCAAAAAATGGATAAATACTATACTTCTTTTTCTAACACTTTGAGCTACAAGATCAACTAAGAATGGAGAAAATGTTGATTCCACACAGCAGACACAGTATTTTGTTCTAGTTTATTTCTCTTAGCCTAGATGTTTTTTTTTCTGATTTCCTATTTTTTATTTAAATTCCACAACACAGTGTCTATATGTTTTTGTTTACTTTCAAGGTCTTAGATTAGTAAGTTTAGTTACAAAGATTTCTAATCAAGTTTTATTACAAGCTTTATGGCTTTAGTAGAATCTTCAAGTTCATTTGTATACTAACTTATGGGTTGGATTTAAACATTTTATTCAGTACCAATTTTGATGTTGAATAATAAAAAATATGTAGATTGATTTATCATTTACATCTTAGTTGTTTTTTTATATTCAATTTTAATTTATTTTTAATAATTCACACACTGATCTAAAACCTTTTAAAGTTATTCAAAGTTACTTACAGCTACCTTAGTCCCCTAAATGAGGACAAAATTATGACCAAATTCACTGATATACAAAAAACAGTGTAAACTCACCTGTTTTTGATTGGTCCTCTAAATTCTGGGTCATATGTAAATGGTTCACCTTGAATAAAGAAACAAGAACAGAAAAATTAAAAGATGAATACATTAGTGTTTGTAAAACCTCTTGACATGTCAATATTTTAAACTGACTTCCAAGCACACTTAAACAATTCTGCCACAGATAGTAGGAGAGAAATTTACCTAACATGAAAAAATTGTCACCTTATTCAAAATCTAAGAATCAAAAATTATATAAAACTTTACCAACAGACCTACTTTGACTTCAAAAACATTATAAATACTACATATATTATGTTTGCAAATTTATATGCACAGAAAATAACAAACTTACAAGATTATTAAAACTTTCAGCTATAACTTTGAATCAAGTCATACAAATGCTTCTTGCATACATTTTATTTAAGATAACAAAAATACAAAGTGTTGATACATTATCTTAAACTTTAAAAAAAATTAAGATAACAAGTAGAATTAAAGTACCCATTGTTCCCATACATTTTCTTAAATGTATCTTTCATGTACACTGTAATTAATTACAATATAATAAATTGTTAGTAGAACAAAAACAAACTTTTGTACCCTAAAACCAATTTGAAATAATAGAAAATATCATAAAATTTCAGCAACTACTGGTAAGTGGTTCATGAGTTACAATTACTTATATTCATTACCTTACATTAAAAACAGAATAAATTTCATTTGAATAACAAAACAGAATAAGTAGCTACTTGTATTAAGTTTGGTAAATTCCACTAAGACATTACAAGTTACACAGAACATAAGAAAAGTCAAAGTGAGGAAAGATTATTTGTCCATTAATGTTACTACTCCTAAACTTAAAATGTTCAAACTAATAATAAAGACTTTTTTGATGTTGTTAATGGTCAGAAAAATGTTAAAACAGGGTTGAGTTCTTACAAGGATGCTGATGTCAAGGTTTTTGTTTGAAAATGATGAGATGGCTGTGCTTGTAAATTTTCTCTGTTATCTCACAATAGAATATTTGCAATGTTCCTAACCCTCAACACTATGATAAATATTGAAGTTTACCTGAATCATATAGACATTAATCCTTTGATACAGAATAAATAATTTGTGAGATTATAGTCAGATAAAGCCCTAGAACCAGACAATGTTTAACTTACGGTTTCAAAGGAAGTCAAAGATCAGATATGTGAGCTACTTGCACTTTTGGTAGGTCAACAGACAGTGTGCAGATACCTATGGAGAGTTACTACTTGCTAACACTACGCTTATTTGTAAATGAGGTAACAAGAGTTTCCCTGGAAGTTAAACAGTCTTACTTCTGAGCCTGCTTTACAAAATATTTTATCAAATATACCACAAAAAAGAATCAATATGGATTCACTAAGATATCTTGCCTTACTACACTGTTAACTTGGGAAGGGGGGGGGGGTTACTTACCTGAATGATGGAAGGGGTGCAGAATTGGTGTACTTAGATTTCTAAAAAGCTTGTGACAAGGTGCCACATAGAAGACTTGCTAAAAAAAATAACATTTGTTATGGTTGAAGAAAGACTAGCTATTTGGATTTAATGGTGGCTGAGTGAGACAATGAAAAAGTTGTTTCTGAAAGCGTCCAGTTATACTGAATCTTTATTACTAGTGGTCTTTATTAGGGGTCACTGTCTGAGCCTGTTACTTATATTAATGACAATGATAGAGGTATAATTAGTAAATAAGAATTTTTTGCTGATGATAGAGGTTTAATCAATAAATAAAAAAATTCTGCTAAGACCATTAAACTCTTAACCATTTCGAGATGTATTAAGCAATGTTCAGGTACAACACATTTGGTAAGTTAGACAAACAGATGGCTAACGACTTTAACCATAATTAGTGCAAGGTGTAATGCACTTGGGTTTATTATAATTTGTATTACATATTTAATACAGATGGAAGCCTACTCAATAACATATATAATAAATAAATCACTCAAGCCATTACAATAGCACTCAGTTTCTAGTACTAATGCTGCATATATGTGTGTGTGTATGTATATTTACAATTAAAATTAAACTACCAAGTATAAAAAAATCATAAGTTATTGAATTTAGAACTGTTTTGATATCTAATCTGATCGCCATTTAACTTAAACCTAGACTTGGTGCCTAGTGGCAATAACTTAGTTTTTTTATTACTGGTACTAAGGTTAAGTTTGATCAACACCCTGAGCCACAGTGAGTTAACTTAAAAGTTAACCCTACATAGACAATTACCAATTGTTCCGTACAAAAATAAAGAACAACTAATTTGAATGTATAAACATAAATATAAAAATTTAAATTGTATTACCATCATATATGAACGATATTTTCATTTGACCATTCTATTTATATAATCATATACAAAATCATAACTCTACATGAATTAATCAATTTAACGCCAAAATTTTACGTCACTTAAGGAAATGCAATGTTTTTACTTGTAGTTATTGTAGTAGTGTATTTATCGTGTTATCATTTTATGTAAGTGCTATGTGGTACTGGAGTGGAACAGTGTTACTCAGCCAATAGCTTTATCATTGTACTACTGTTATATTTGACAATTTAGTCAAGTTAATGCGATAACGCCCGAACATGCAGTGAATCACTAAATATCACATTTAGTCTTAAGCCCAAATTATTGTGTAATTTATTAACTTACCGTGAAATTGATTAGTTAAAACTTCCGTGCCTTTCGCCATTTAACTTAAGTTTTAAGACGTGTTATCCTTTTTTCACTGTTAACTTGTCTTATAATATTATACTTTCTGAGCCCTTCTTTCCTAAAAAAATAGTTTTTTTTATATCTCTCGCCACTAATAGTAATAACAATAGCAATATTACTTAAGTATTATTTACATTTCACAATCAAATTATCGATGATATTACTGAGTGAATCAAGCCAGTAGATGGCGGCACATTTCCTTTATAGAAGAAGTGTGATATTTACGAATTCTAAAGCTCACAGTTTGCAGAAAAGTACAATACTACATAAAATTATTTTAAAATATTCGTTTACAGAATTAAAAATAACGCCGAAAACAAGTCTGATAAATTGCATCCACCTGAAATTGCACCTTAAAATATATAGATATTTATTATCATTATCTCCGTGGCTTAGCGTTCAAACATTCCCACTTCAATGGCGACAAAAATGATTAAAGGTGGGTACCAGACACTCCAATTGAGAAGTAATAATTATGTTGGTTAAATCCTATCTACTTTGACTATTTCTCAAATTTTTCTTCTATTTTTTTTATTCGAAAACAAAATGGCCGATCCCAGAAGTATTACAATAGTGGGATAATACATGGCACGGGCGGAGCAAGCTCCAAGCCTTGCAAAAATGAGTTTAATATTGTTACGACAGCGGATGTCACGTGA